CCTGTGCAAAAATAAAATTTGTTTGTTTGCTTGTTTATATTTATATCCCACTCAATTACTCAGGGTGGCAAACAAATTAGAATAACACAACCCCAATAACACACAACTAAAAATATTAAATACAATAAAGGCGGCAAAAGGGCAAGTACATTAACAAGGTGGGGGAAAGCCCCATCAATTGGCAAGATTACTCTGGGGTAAGGCCAAAGAAAGCTTGTGAGAAAAGCCAGGTTTTAACTTGTCTCCTGAAACTAAGGAGGGAAGGGGCTAATTGTACCTCAGGTGGGAGGAAGTTCCAAAGTTATGGAGCAAGAAGGCTTAGTTTCGAGCGGCAGATTTTCAGGCTTCCCTCTCAACATCCCAATATATGAGGAATGGGTAGTGGCTAGACATTTTGAGGGAGAAGTGCTCAGATAGGCAGCAAGGTGCTAAACCATTCACCGTGAGAATTGTTTAGCAATTTAGCAAGTATCTTGTTTAAGAGGCATTTTATGATAGCAGTCTTCCAATATCTGAAGAGTTGCCACAGGGAAGAAGGCATAGCTTAATTCTCCACTGCGCCTGAGGATAGGACAAGAACCAATGTATGGAAACTTGTCAGACGCAGATCCAACCTGGAAATAAGGAGGAATTTCCTGACGGTGAGAACCATTAAGCAGTGGAACAGCTTGCCTCCCGATGTTGTGGGTGCCCCATCACCAGAGGTTTTCAAGAAAAGATTGGACAGCCATCTCTCCAGGATGATATGAGGTCCGGGATGGTATGAAGTCTCCTGCCTTGGGCAGGGGGTTGGACTAGAAGACCTCCAAGGCCCCTTCCAACCCTATGACGATTGTATGATTCTATGATGCCCCTTGAGATAGGAATCAAACAGAGAGAGACTGAAACATTGTTGCCTTGATACATAGTTCCAGGATATAACATAGGGTCCCCAGATTTTACTCATTTTGACAGCTAGCAAACATGTGTCTCTATGAGTGCTTTTAAGTACCTGTGCCATTTTGTTAATGCTCATGACAAATAAAATTTTGGCTTTTGAGCTCCAGTCTATGAAATTTCAGTCCTTCTACCACAATTTCCTTTAAAGCTTCTAAGGCTCAACCTTCACATTTCCTTTACAGCTCTGGTCCATTCCACTGATATCAACACAACAGAATTTCTCTTATTATTACCATGTCTCAAGAGGTATTCTGTCAGCCTCATTTTTTTTTCCACTGGCTGTATACTGTTGATTTCCCTCCTTCCTTCAAGCCATATATCCTTGCTTTCCAACACTGCTGCAAAAATGTGCTTCTCCAGTACATAAGAGAATCATTGTACATAACCCCTGAAACATGCTTTGATTATAATATGTAGCCAAAAAGAAAATTAAATTGGATTTCTTCATTCCTGAACACACACACACATACCTATACACCCCCCCAAGACACACTCACTCTCACATGTAAGAATCTAGTTATACAAGACAATGGGACATGACCATTGGTCTAAGCGCCAGCATTTCTCTATCAAGAAATTAAGTGCTGTTCAACCTCTCTTGTGAGTCTAATGTACACTCAAACCACATAGTTCCTTTCCACAAAATCCACTCCTGGTGGTCCACCAATACCTTCTCACAGAGGGAAGTTCTTCAGTCTTTGCCCAAATCCAGGCCCATGTTGTTTCAGCACTCAGACGGCCCATCTTGAATATCAGGCTGGCCCAACATACCCTCAGGTTTATATGTTCTCTTCACCTCCTTTACAACTGTCTCACTATTCCTGGCATCGTGTCATCATGACGTGTATTATTTTAACTTTATTTCATTTCATTTTAGAGTGTTCAAAGTAGTGAAAATAAAGTACTGTATTACTTTTTAAATGTAGTTATTTAAGATTTTCCACATCCTCACCTCAAAGTTCCTGAGTTTTAGCATTAAACAATTGGTTCCCTACCCCCACCCACTACCCTTTCTCATTGAATTCTACTTAAGATGCCCTTGTGAGGTTGCTGAAAGCAGCTGGTCTTGCAAATAAGACATCTTATGTTTTCAGTGAAAAACTGTGAGATATTTATAGGGGCAAGTGTGATTTGGTCTTTATTCAGAGGAAAAAAAATGTTGAATATTGTTCTTTGAATAACAAAAATAGAGTAGGAATGTAAACCACAGTTTCACAAAGGCATCAAGAGCTTTGTCAGCAGAATAGAAATCAAGGAAATAAGGGTCAATAAAGATGTGACATTTTGTTTGTTACATAGTTTGCCCTGGTGGGATTGCTTTTTCACCAGCTTTTGTTCAGACTGTGATCACAGTTAGAATTGCCTCATCCCCACTCCCAGATGCCGTTTGTCCTCCATGGGCAGAATAATGCTATGCAGAGAGCCCTTTCTGTGGTGGCCCCTTGCTTGTGAATGCCTTTCTTGGAGACACCTCACTCTTAACGTGCTGTCATTTCAGCACCATCCAAATATAGCCTCTGCCAGAGGTTTAACCTTGTTGACTTTTGCATATTTGTAACCCTTTTAAGCAATTCTACATCTTTTGTGTTTGGGGTTTTTATTCTGTACTACGCTGTGGTATTGTGTTCATTTTATTTTGTACCAGCTCCTTTGTACCAGCTTTCCTTTTTCAAGTGCTGATTAGCTCTTGAAAGATGGGAATATACTTCATTCATTCACAGCACAAAATTTTCCAACAGCAAATATCGTGCATTATCTATTCATTCTGTGCAACTATTTATTAATTAAAGGTAGGATGAAAACACAAAGCTAAATCCATAACCAGATCATGACACGATTCAGCTTTAAAACAAAACACAGACACATTCACATGCACAAAAGAACACACCTCTTAAAGAATGTTTAGAATTTTACAGAAATCTGAGGAGAGCAAAGCTGTAACAATTCACAAGTTTAGAATTTTACAGAAATCTGAGGAGAGAGAGCAAAGCTGTAACAATTCACAAGTTAAGTACATGTCACATATCTTAAAATGCCTGTGTGAGGTAGGCCATTCTCTGTGAAGTCACAATCATTTGCTTTACTTTGTATGTCTGGAGTTCTGCCTGATATGATCAGCTCTTTTCTGAGGCAATTGTGCAGCCTTTGGAAATACTTCATGAATGAGACACATAGAACACATCTGTCCCTCACCTGACACTGAATGTCATACTCCCCCCCCCCAAATAAGCCTCTTCTAGGTGAACAAATATGAGATACAACCATCTTCTACAGTTCAAAAACAAACCTAGTGAGGAAGTGGCTAGGCATCATAGTATTTATTTTTATGACAGTGAATTTGCTATTTGTTCAGTTACACCATATCTATCAATGTGGGAAGGTAGAAAGGACCCAGAGCACCATGCTATCACAGTTCAATTATGGATGCCTTCAGTGAATCATTATAATCATTTTTAAATGACATTTCCAGGCTGTCAACTTGTTCTTTGCCTTGGGTGGCAATTTGTTTTGGGCTAGTTCAGAGAAAAATAGCATGTCCCTGAATACTTAGCATTGGCATTAATACATTTTCCGTGAAGACAGATGGATGCTTCTCATAAAATATTATCTCATGTAAAATGATTTTTGTTCAAGTTAAGCAAATTGGGTTAGAGACTGAGGTTTACAGTTAAAAGGAAAATCTCCCAATAGTAGTAGTAAACATAGAAGTAATACTAATAGCGTGTACCCAAAATATGGAATGGAATATATTGACCCAAAGCCTGTCCATATATGCCATTGTTTAATGTGCTACTTGAAATTAATTATTACAGTGGACCCTTGACTTATTTGTTTTGTGTAAAGCATTTTCACCTGCCATTCAGATGGAAAATCTAGATGAGCTAGGTGAGAGATCTGTTACCCAGAATTCGAAAAACAAGACAGCTTTATGATCCCCATAGCCTTTTCCCCTCAGGCTTACAGTCTAAAAAGCAGCAGGCAAAAGGGGGGGGGGGAAATGAGGGTGGAGGACAGGCAGCACTTCTTAAACTTCTGAAATTGCTAGACTGATGAATTTAACAGATTAAGTTCTCAAGTCAAGACCCCACTGTATTTGTTTTGTGTAAAGCATTTTCACCTGCCATTCAGATGGAAAATCTAGATGAGCTAGGTGAGAGATCTGTTACCCAGAATTCGAAAAACAAGACAGCTTTATGATCCCCATAGCCTTTTCCCCTCAGGCTTACAGTCTAAAAAGCAGCAGGCAAAAGGGGGGAAAATGAGGGTGGAGGACAGGCAGCATTTCTTAAACTTCTGGAATTGCTAGACTGATGAGTTTACAATGCTTCAGGAAGAAGGAGAAACCAAAAGGATCTGGGCTCTGAAAGAGAAGAAGGAGAAACCAAAAGGATCTGGGCTGTGAAAGAGTTGATGGAATGGCCCTGGTTCCTTCTATTCTTTTCCATCGTCTCCATAGGCTTCTAGCAGCCATTTCAATATTGAACAAATTATGGGTTGCATCTGTGTTCAATAAATTAAGATTGTTGTGCATATTTGATTACAGCTGGGACAATTATTCTTCTCTCCCACTTATTTTTATAAAATGTACCTAGATCTTATGGGTTAGTAGCTGAAGCCCACCATCCACACATGTATTGTGTTGTAGCACAGAGAACTGTGAGGCAAAATGAACACAGCAGAAACATCCAAATCTGTGTAGAATCCGCTCAAGGGGAGGGGAGATGTATTTGTAGTATTTAATAAGCTGTGATTAAATTTAGGTAAGATTAGGCTGGAGACCTGCTTTCAAGGCTTAAGCAACATTTGTAAACAAGGTTTTAGTCTTACTCTTTGAAAATCCGTAGGAATTGTGTTACAACTGTAGATTCTGTAAGGAGTGCAGAATCTGTGTGCAGTTAGGCTGGGAAGTGGGGGCAAATATCCGAAATATCCGGATATTTGCTGGATGGCAGTTCCCAGCATTGCAGTTCAGTTCAGCAATATCCAGTGGGCCGCACTTTGCTCATCCCTGCTGATGGTGGTGGTGGTGATAATGATGGAGCTGTTTTCTGCCTTTGCAGGTCACTAGACTAGAAAGGGAAAAAACCCAAGAAACAAAAAGGATCCGGGAGCTGGAGCAGCGCAAGCAGACGGTGCAGATCACTGAACTGAAAGCCAAGCTCCATGAGGAGAAGATGAAGGAGCTTCAGGCTGTGCGGGAAAACCTCATCAAACAGCACGAGCAGGAAATGGCACGGATCATGAAAATCAGAGACAGTGAGATCCAGAGGCTGAAGTCGGCGCTGTATTCATTGCGGGAAGGGAGCAGTGACAAAGTACGGACAGCTCTAACCATTGAGGCTCGTGAAGAGGCCAGGAAGCAATTTGACTCTGAGCGCCTTAAGCTTTTGCAAGAGATCACTGAACTGAAGTCTGCCAAAAAGCAGGTGGACGAGGCCCTGAACAACATGATCCAGGCAGATAAGATTAAAGCTGGGGATCTTCGGAGTGAGCACCAGTCCCATCAGGAAGCCATCTCAAAGATCAAGTGGGAGAGTGAGAGAGATATTCGCAGGCTGGTGAGTCATCCACCCAGATGCCCAGCTTCCAGGAGTGCTTAGCATGCAAAACAGTTGTGTGTGGCTATCACAACACAAACGGGAAAACTACAACCACAGAGGGGAGGCTATAGGTGCAGGAATCTATTAGCTGACAGACAACAACCACAGAGGGGAGGCTATAGGTGCAGAAATCTATTAGCTGACAGATATGTGTTTGTGTATGTGCGTGCATGCATGCCCACTCTCCTTACTCCGTGTGTGTGTGTGTGTGTGCATGTGTGCACTTCAGACACCCACTCTCCTTACTCTCACATGGTCAAATTAATTAGAAAAACAATGGACTATCCTCTTGGGAAATAGAACATTCAGAATATATTGAGTTTTGTTTCCTATCAACCCTAGCCATCCTGGCCAATGGTAAGGCATAAAACAATTAGTAATTCATCAACAAACAGGTGAGAGGTTGATGCATGTACTCAGAGTGAATGTCTCTCTCATTGTTACTAGGATTTGTAAAGAAAGTACATGCACTCAGCCTTTTCATCTCCACATTATCATGTGCCCAGGTACCCAGTTACTATTTAAAATATGAGTGTAAACCTGGTACATTTATCTGAATGCCCATCCCATAGAAGGCACTGCAGGGCAGATGGACAAAACTGCTGTAATCTGTGCACAGCACGTTATTTTTCAAGGGGAAGTGCCATGGATGCATACTCTGATCCATATTTTCTCCAAACAATTGTAGCGTGTGTAGCTGCAGAACTAGCGGTGTGCATTGTTAAATGGGTAATGCAAGTGCTCTCTCTCTCTCTCTCTCTCTCTCTCTCTCTCTCTCTCTCTCTGTCACTCTCTCACTTTCTTTTCCCATTCAGGCTGAGGGCAGTTAGAAGGCTTTACTTGTTCTCATATGTGTTACCTTGTAGCCGAAACTGAAGGGATATGTGGTGTTGTGATGTATTATCATGTCCAGCTGAACTAGTTTGGCAAGTGGGCAGCCTACTCTGTTTCTCTGTTTATCAGAATTAAGGGACACTATTCAGGTGCCAAAGCCATTTGCTAATAAGCAGTATTAACAAGATTGTGGTCTTGCCAGCAGGAAGCTCTGATGTCTGGGAATTTGATGTACAGCCTATCTTTTTACTCCTTCTGAAACAACAAGTGTACAACCATACACCCAGAACATTCCTGATCTCATCTGATTTCAGAAGCTAAACGGAGGCAGTCATGGTTGATACTTGAAATATTATTTATAACTACTCAGTAATACCAAGTATCTCCAAATAGGGCTAGGAACAAATTCTGCCTGAAGCCTTGGAAAGCTGCTGTTAGAGCTTATGATCTTCGGCTAGATGTTGGAGTGATTCCGCATAAGGCAGCTTACTATGTTCTTAAGTGTGTAGCTTGGGGCTATGCATTGATCCAGTTTCGCCACCTGAGGCCTGATTTCAGTCACTAGGAGTACCATCTAGAAGCTTCAACTTGTTCACCATCTACAACTGTTCTTCAACAAGGATACACTAGCTATAGGTTTTAGTCAGATCCAGTTCCCATAATGTGTTATACATAACACATTAGCTCAGAAGTTTCAGCTACCACAGTACACAAAGCCCAGACATTTAACTGAAAGAACCGCATTAGCTGCTGTTTTGCTTTTGTGCAGGGATATAGGTCTTTGCTTATGTTATTCTTGCAGGAGGGAACTTTTTTAAAAAAAGACTTTCTCCTCACTAGGCTCGGTTACAAGAATACAGTATGTGTGTATATTTTTACACACACACAAATTAGCAAAAATTTCACACCAGTAATTTTTTTAACAAAAACATATATTTCACAAAAAAAAATTAGAGTTTTTCACTAAAGGTAATTTTTGGGGGCAAAAAATGCTGGAGGTGGCACTAATGCTTTGCTGCTGAAGAAACCCTGGACTTTTCACTTTCACACAGGATTTAAGTATCTTGCAGCGGCTGACAATTTTCTCAGCCTTTTTCATCATGGATTAGAACAGTTGTAAGTATTCATTACATCCTCAGTTCTGTGACCAGTTCAAGGCACTTGCGCTGAGCTTCTAAAGCTTTAAATATGCTGGACTCGGCTGTCAGCCTGGTTGCCTGTCCCAGTCTTAGACCCAGGTTGTCCACTGCAGATTGAAAAAGCATTCTAGCTTAGAGAGCATCCACTTGACTTATATTGCTATGGACCGCTGAGTGTGCAGCTCAGGGAGCAATGGATGGATTCAGTCCACTGCACTGCATTTTAACTTGATGGCTGGCCTAGAATACAAACATTGGAAGTGCACCGCACACAGCCAGATGATTGTGGTCTGCAGACTAGCTCAAAGCACTTTTCACTAGACTGGAACCACAGCAGATCCTGGCTCAGAAATCTTACTTTACTTTTAGCAGGGCAGCTCCTGTAAGATTTTGGGCATTGCTAGTGTTTAAGGTTTTGACCAAACTACAGGAGGCAGTGGAAGACAGAAGGGCCTGGCATGCTCTGGTCCATGGGGTTATGAAGAGTCGGACATGACTTAACGACCAAACAACAACAAAGTGTTTAAGGGAATGGAATGTGGCTATGGGTTCTGGGTGGAAACTCTGCAGAGATCACATTGCTGTTTCCCCCCCACAAAATAACACAAGCAATCTCTCCCTCAAATTATTTCCCACCTTCTTCCTTAGGATTTTTGCCAGCCCCATGGGGCAGGTCAGTGGATTTCTAGGTCATCACTGTCATCTGGCTTACTCAGGATTAAATATTTTACTCGGAGATTTTAGTCTATACATTGATTAACAATTTCATTCTTTGTGGTGCCTGGTTGTCTGCATATTATTTCAGGCTTGCACAAACATAAGCTGAGCCCTTTTCAAGATTCAGTGGCAATCTCCACTCAGTCTGCAAAAATGTTGACCCATCTTATTTAGGATGAATTAGAATAGCTGCAACCGAATGGCGTACACTAGTACAGTGGTTCTCAACCTTTGCAGCGCCAGATGTTTTGGGTTTCAATTCCTGACTGCTGGCCATGCTGATCGGGGCTTCTTGACATCTGGAGGATCAAATGAAAAACATGAGTCTGCCCCTTGCCACCTTTCATCATTGCTGACATTTACATCCAGGGATGTAAATCCCTAGATGTTCCAGCACGAGGCAGAAGATCAAATAACACCCCGCACTCAGCCAAGGCAAATTTGTAGCTTCCAGAGCCACTCGAATTATTTGACACATTAAGCAATAATAATAACAGTGTGTGATCTGTGCTGTCAAATCAGAACCGACTTACAGCAACCCTAATAGGACTTTCAGAGTAAACAAGATATTTAAGGAGTGGTTTTTCCAGTTCCACTTCCCCAGTGAGTTTTCATAGTCAACTGGAGATTCGAACCCTGTTTTCCAAAGTTTAAGTCTGCCAGTTTGTCCACTACAAATTTACATCCAGGGATGTAAATCCCTAGATGTTCCAGCACGAGGCAGAAGATCAAATAACACCCCGCACTCAGCCAAGGCAAATTTGTAGCTTCCAGAGCCACTCGAATTATTTGACACATTAAGCAATAATAATAACAGTGTGTGATCTGTGCTGTCAAATCAGAACCGACTTACAGCAACCCTAATAGGACTTTCAGAGTAAACAAGATATTTAAGGAGTGGTTTTTCCAGTTCCATTTCCCCAGTGAGTTTTCATGGTCAACTGGAGATTCGAACACTGTTTTCCAAAGTTCTAGTCCGCCAGTTTGTCCACTACACCACACTGGGAATCCTCAAATAGTAACAGTGTTAAAAAATTCCCACAAGTGTCCCTCTCTGTCCCTGAAGTAAAAAATAAAATTGTAACAAAGCAGATAACTGAGAATTCAACATCAGGTTGACACTTCATGTCTACTGGAGGTGGCCATCTCAATCTACCTAAATGCTTGGGCTGGCCCTTTTTACCTCTATAATAATACACATCAGGTATGTACAAACATGTCGAACCCTGTTTTCCAAAGTTTAAGTCTGCCAGTTTGTCCACTACAACACACTGGGAATCCTCAAATAGTAACAGTGTTAAAAAATTCCCACAAGTGTCCCTCTCTGTCCCTGAAGTAAAAAATAAAATTGTAACAAAGCAGATAACTGAGAATTCAACATCAGGTTGACACTTCATGTCTACTGGAGGTGGCCATCTCAATCTACCTAAATGCTTGGGCTGGCCCTTTTTACCTCTATAATAATACACACCAGGTACAGTATGTACAAACATGTTACAAACAACATAGTGATTGCCTTTGCTAACATGTTGTTTAAATTATGTTGTCTCCTGCTTTCATTACTCAGGACATTTCCTTTTTCTGACTTGTCTTGAGTAAAAATGTGCATTTTGATGTCTTATGACACAAGGTGAATTGAACTGCAGATTACTGGAAGGGATGGGAGAATTAAAAACATAGTTGCCTTTGTTTCCAAGGAAGCACAGTACCCTTTGTAATATATATCCTTCGTTAGACAAAATATACTTGCATTGCTATTTGCCAGCCAAACATCAAGCTGACTCATCTTTTGAGGGTTATGTTGTTCAATACTCATCTTACACAAGCCAACATTTTTGAAATCAGAAAAACTGCTGATAATCCATGGATCTCTTAGACAGCCAAAGGCCTGGATGTTTCTCTCATGTTTAGTTCGACATGAGCATTGCCATTAGGGTTGCTACTAGTTTTATGGACCGCAGAGATTTCCTCAAAACAGCTGCATGGCAGGAAGAAAATCAGAAGGCAACATCTTTCTTGGCATTGCATTGCAATGTTAGTAAAAGTGCCAGTTTTTATTTACCAAGAATCAGTTACCCAGAGGCTGTAAAAAAAAAAAAAAAACAGTAGCTATGCTAGCAATAACAGGCTTTTCCACATCTAGTCAGTTCTATTATTAACTGAATAGCCTACAACATATAGATTAAAGTATGCAGGTAAGTAAAAAAAAACACTGTAAGAATCTAAGAAATGTTTCAGTAAAAAAGACTCAAATGCCTCAGATTTGTGGAATGCATGCTGCTCATTTAAGATTATGCTTTTTGTTCTGAAAATGTTCTTCCATCACCGTTAAAACTGCTCGTTGGTGAAGATTATTACACTAGCCAGTCACGTGGCCATGGGCCTATGTCATGAAAGTTCATGAATTAATTAAAGACATTGTTATACCTTTTCTCTTTACAGCAATTCTGTGAGGTAGGTGAGGCTGAGAAAATATGACTTGTTCAAGGTGAACAACACCCTGTAAATGTCTTCACTCTCTGGGGTCTGTAACCTACATATTCCAAGACCAAGAGGCACCACTATCCCACACTCTTTTATTCCCACAGCAGTGGTGCATGCACAAACCTTGGTTTTGACTGCAGTGATGATTCTTTAGAAAAGACCCACCACATTTGAGGGCAGTGCACCAGGTTGGGAAAACATTGTCCCGTCAACAAAGGCTACGGAGGAGTAGCACAGGTATTGTTCCTATTGCCCTCCCAACACCTACCACCTGGCTCAGTCACATCTCTCTGCTTAACATTAGAACCAGTCCTTATGTTGCCTGAGCCAGGAGTTCAGATGTAGGAAAAAGTCAATAAAAAATCATGAGACCCCATGTATTCTATGAAACATCATGTGAATCAGCCTTTCCCTCCATCTCACTACCCTTACCGATGTTTTTTGGTGAGGAGAGGGTCTTCTCTGCCACTGCTGGAACTCCTTCCCACAAGAGGCCAGGCTGGTCCTGTCTTTGCAATCCTTCTGCAAGCAAAGACAGGCTGTTCAGACATGCTTTCCCTTAATGACTGGCTGTCTAAGAGAGTTTGTTTTTTTAAATGGGGGCACCTTTGTTGAATTTGCATTTGCCCCATGACACAGTTGTTCAAGAGTTTGGCTTATGCTCTAAAAAAAAGATGCCAATTTTAAGAGTGTGAATGACAAGAGGGAAATAATTGTCTTAGGCAAATGAAAAGCTTTGTTTTAATGAAAAACAATTTAATCTTCATTGCTTCACTGTGTTATAAAAGGTATTCGTTGTTGTGCACTAATACAATCCTTGCATGTCTTCATATAGATGGATGAGATCAAGGCAAAAGACAGGACCATCTTTTCCTTGGAGAAAGAGCTGGAGACACTGACGGGCTATGTTCAAAAGCTTCAATTGCAGAAAGAGGCTTTGGACGAACAACTCTTCCTAGTAAAGGAGGCCGAATGTAACATGAGCAGCCCCAAAAGGGAGATACCAGGCAGAGCAGGAGATGGTTCTGAACACTGCAGCAGTCCTGTAAGAAGGATTTTTTATTTCATCACAAAAAGTAACACTGGGGCTTTGCGTGAATCCACTTTGCCAATTTATTGCATCATTTTGCTGCTTTCCATGAGGGAAGCAGCTCTTTGTGGTATGCAAAATGCACCCTCTTGTGGCAGTCATAAGGTTGCACTTCAGTACTGACACTTTATATCAGAGGTCCCCAACCCCCGGTCCGCGGCCCGGTGCCAGTCTGTGACTTGAGCCAGACCGAGGCATGGAGACAGACCTCCTGCTCCATCCCCGCACAGCACATTTGTGCAGTGCCAGTCTGTGGCCTGAGCCAGACCGGGGCGTGGAGACAGACCTTCTGCTCCACCCCCCCGCATGCACTCACCCCTGCACAGATTTGCGCGTGCGCACAAGCGAGCACACCCCACTACAAACACTGTGCGGCTGTTTGCGCATGTGCACGCTCACACGGCTGCACAAGTGCTACACTGCTGTTTGCCCGTACGCGCACACGCTCGTTTGCGCAATGTGTTTTTTCGTTTTAAGATCTTTATTTACATGAAGTAACATGTTAATTTAATACTCACAGAGTATTAATACTCCATCATTGTAATTTATTATAAAATAATAGTACATTTATTATTAAGTAATTTAATAATCCTAGAGGATGGTGTGGCTGCAGTAATGAGAGCTGTCAATTTCACCTTTTGTAGGATTCATAATTTCTGCTAGTTATTTAGGCAGTCTAGCTGGTAACCATGCAGCTCTCTTGAGACTGGGTCATAAGGGGATCCCTTTGACCAATGTCCACAAGGAACCAACCTGCTATATATTTTTTAATCATATTGCTTTCTGAGCCATTTCCAAAGGCAGCCCAAGGTTGAGTTTCTTGTTAATGTTTAATAAACGAAAAAACATTAAGCATTAAACAATGTTACAGTTTTAATGTAATACCTTTATTGTCTTTTTATCTGATTTTTTAAAAAAATAATCTGTGACCTGCCTTGGGTCCCTTCTTTGGGAGGCAGGCAACATAGAAATGAAAACACATACATATGGAATAGATTAGGGGTATAAGCAGGACTTGGAAGCCCTGTTATGAAGTCTGCAGACAGCATGGGGGATTCTAGGAACTGTAGTCCCAAAAAGTAACAATTTGAAGCTCTGGAGATAAGAAAGGGTAAGGTCAAGGAGTTCTCTCTACTTTTGTCTCACTCTGACAAGAGACTGTATAGGAATGGCACAAGCCTTAGCCCTCATGTGGACAAATTGCAATTCCATGTGGCTGGCTTCATATGTCCCTATCACTTGGGCCCAACTCTGTGCTTTGTACAACAGCATGCAAACTATTCCCCCATGCAAAAACAAGATTAATATAGCTGAGGTGTGGACACGCAGGTGTGTTTCCATGGCATGGCTGTAATTTTTAAGGGCCTGTGACCATGAGGGCTGGGCCAGTCATGCAGGACCGCCCCTTACCTTTCAGCAGAGTGAGGAGATTTCCTGAGGCAGCCAATGCTGAAAGATCCAGAACAGCAGCACAGAGTTGGAGGGCAGAGTTTTCTGTGCTTTCTGTCCCTTGATCTGTCATGGGTGCATTCAGGCAGAGTACAGGACATGATCCTGACCCAGATTCAACTGCTGGTCTTCTTCTGTATATGGACAGTGAGTACGGAGCTTTGTCTCAGGAAGAAAAATGTGTTGGGATTTCATTAACATGAAACCACAACCAAGCCAAGACAATGTTAATTGGCTCCATGTAATTGGCTGAGCTACACGGTTGTGCATCTTCAAACATTCAGCTCTGCCCTGGGATTAGTCTGAAGAAAAACCGTTTCACATGATATGGCTATAAAATTTACAGAGCCTGGAGGAGTTATTTTTTTAGACCACACATCCTAGAATCCCTAAAAAAAAACTTTAGCTTTTACTAGTTGTGCTCATGAAAATATGGAAAGTAGCAGTCTTGGAGAGGGAAAATTATATGTAACTTTGCAGTGGTTTGCAAATAAATCTTGCATTTCTTATTTTATTTTTTTTAAACAATGTTCCTTGACAGGATCTACGTAGAAATCAGAAGAGGATAGCAGAGCTCAATGCTACGATACGGAAACTTGAGGACAGGAATACGCTGCTTGTAGATGAACGGAATGAGCTGGTGCGTCACCTTGGCTGTTTTAGAGTGAGGTTTGAAAAATGATACTGTGTCAAGCTAAAAGGGTGTGTGTGACGATTTTGTTTTTATTTATGTATTTTTATGCCATCCTTCATTAAAGCTTCCAGAGCAGTGTGCAAGAGAGTCTTGAAACAAAAAAGTATCTTACTGGCGTGGGTATATTCTAGTACCAGTGGACTTAAATATTAGGATAAATAAGATCAGCTTATCCCACTTGAAAGGTAGGTAGCAGACACATCCAAGTGATGCTACCTATTTGAAACGAATTTACTGAAAATTATTTAAGCATAAATGTGAGGATATTCATCATTACTGCAGATGCTACAGCCCTATCTGGTTGCTTCTTTCCTTTGGAAAAGTCACTGGAGATACACGTTTATCTTGAGAATCAGATCTGTTTCACCTCACATCCCTGTCCCTGCCCCTTGCTCTGGCCCTCTCCTTCTATTCTGCCCTCCCCACCATGACTGTTCATCTGACTGGTTCACCCACTGCATAACTCCTCATCACTCTTCCATAACAAAAGTTAGAAACAGGGGGTTTCAAACCCATTGTGGCAGATCGCCCAGGGTCCAAGCCACCCTTCCCACTCAGACTACAACCCCCACCACGAAAGTGCTACATCGGAGGGTGAGAACAGGGGGTTTGTGGGGGGAATCATACATAGCATTCTTTCTAAAGCAAGAGATAAGGAGTATGTCTTCCCCAGACTTTACTCCTTGAAAATCACATCAGGATTGCTCTCTTTCTTCTTGGAGAAATGGTGAGCACTAAGGAATGCGGTCTTCTTCAAACCTGCAGTTAGAAACAATATTTAGGCTGGGTACTGTATTTTGCATTGTATGAGTACTGTGCACTCAGCTAGAGACACTGCTTTCCCTGTAGTGTTTCCCACACTTTTTGAGGAGCCTAGACACAAATTTATTTAGCAGATTAGATTTATTTATGTATTATTTATTATTCATTCAAATGAGGGACGTGGTGGCGCTACGGGTTAAACTGCAGAAGCCTGTGTGCTGTAAGGTCTGTAGATCTTCAGCTGTAAGATCGAATCCGCGCGACGGAGTGAGCGCCCGTCGCTTGTCCCAGCTCCCGCCAACCTAGCGGTTCGAAAGCATGCAAATGCGAGTAGATAAATAGGGACCACCTCGGTGGGAAGATAACAGCGTTCCGTGTCTAAGTCGCACTGGCCATGTGACCATGGAAGATTGGCTTCGGACAAAAATGCTGGCTCTATGGCTTGGAAACGGGGATGAGCCCCGCCCCCTAGAGTCGAACACAACTGGACAAAAATTGTCATGGGGAACCTTTAGCTTTACCTTTATTCATTCAAATGTTTTGAATGTGGTCTGGGAAAGGCATCAATCTTTCATTTGCCCCACAGCTATAAGCCACATTCTTTGGGGCAAATAAGACTTGTAGTCCATCACATCTAAAGAGTATGAGGTTCAGGAAGGCTAGCATAGAGCATAAGCAAACAACCCTTTTCAAGGCTCCTTCAAGGCTTCATACCCACCATTGGCTCTGCTTAGACTCAACCCTATTTTCTGGCTCCCGTCAAAGAAATGTTGGAAACTGCTACATTTTCTTTCAGTTTCTTAAATAATTCTGGAGGCATCCTTAGATAATAAGCACTAGCATGGGCACTCAGAATGCTGAAAGGAATTTAAATGTAATTATATAATATGAGTTGTTATTTACAGTTGAAACGTGTTCGGGAAGCTGAAAAACAATGCAAACCTCTCCTGGAAAGAAATAAGTGCCTCTCTAAGAGAAACGACGAACTTCTGCAGTCATTGCAGCGCATGGAGGAGAAACTCAAGGCAATTGCGAAGGAAAACTTAGAAATGGTTTGTATTGAGTGTTTATAACACTTCTGCACATATAAAGCAGTGCCAACAAGTTTTATGCATGAGATTTCTTCCACTGAATTCCTGGGACATCACCCATAAAAAATTGTGCTGGCACCTGGTAATTAAGTTGTGTGAATGTTTTCTTTTTTGCCCATGCTTAAAAACTGAGTGTGAAGATTTCAGGGAAATAAAAAAAAAATATGGAAAAAAATCCAGTCAATTTCATATTCAGCTTTGATTTTCCAAGAACTGATTGTATCTGGAAAGGATTGTGGTATACCATTTTGCATTCACGGCAAATCTGATACTTGGATCTCCTGGTACAGTGGTGCTCCGCATAGCGACGATAATCCGTTCCGGAAAAATCGTCGCTATACGGATTTGTCGCTATACAGGAAAAAAGCCCATAGGAATGCATTAAAACCAGTTTAATGTGTTCCTATGGGCAAAAAACTCACCGTTATGCCAAAATTCTCCATACGGCCACCATTTTCGCTGCCTGGTAAGTGAGGAATGGGCGCGAAAACACAGTGGGCAGCTATTTTTTTACCCGGCAGCCATTTTGGAACAACCGATCAGCTGTTCTAAAAACATTGCTGTGCGAAAAACAGTAAGCGAAACAGCTTACTGATCATCGCGAAGCGATGTTTTACCATTAAAAACATTGCAATGCGATCACTTTTGCGATCGCAAAAACGTAATCGCTATGCAGATTCATCGTTAAACGAGGCACCCGTTAAGCGAGGCACCACTGTATGTTCACATCTTCCTGGGAACAGTATGAACCTGTAGACATGAAGGTTCAATTCTTTGGACTTACATAGACTTATATTGTATATACCACTTTAAACCAATTTGCTTTACTTCTAATTGGCTATTCTTGGGATAGAGAAGGTTAAAAAAAATTGAGATGGCATAAATAGGGCTACCCCAACATCCCCAGATTGTCTTAGCTTTAGGAAATTAGATGTAGCAAGCAGCCACATGTTGTGGCTCTTGGGAGCATTTTGCTCATCGTAACACAGTTTACTTATTTGCTAATGTGAATCCAGATGTTGTTGGGCCTTGTCATGTTTTATTTATAACAGACATGGAAACAATCTTTCGGACCATGTACAACCACTACTGCACAAAGGAACTGGCACGTGACTTCAACTGCCATATGTACAAATGATGATCTAATTCTCACTCAGATCTTTCCCATGTTTATATATACAAATGTACAACACTCATCGTGACTCCTTTTGTGCGGTGTTGGAGTGGTAATATCCCTAGAGTCACTCCCGCACTGCACCACATGTAGGCAATGTTCAAGCCAGCCTTAAAGAAAGCGGTTTCTCTGTTTCAAAGATATATAATTCCCTTGAGGCACTCCTGGTTTTTCACTAGCAGTCTCCATGTCACTTTAACTCAGTGGAATTTTCTTGTTCAGGGAAACTCACTCTGTAACAAGGGGATAGATTATATAGTTTCCCAACATAGAACAAAATATACTCTTAGTCTCCTCAATGCTATAACAAGATCTCAATTAGAAATACACAGTGGAAAAATGGATGTTTATCTGCCTGGCACTTAACATTGCTGTTTTTGCTACATAGAAAGAAAAAATGACATCGCATCCTCCTTTGAAGAAATTAAAATCTCTCAATGACCTGGATCAAGCGAATGAAGAACAAGAAACTGAATTTTTGAAGCTTCAGGTTATAGAGCAGCAGAATATAATTGATGAGCTGACACGGGTAGGTAGTTGCCCACAAAGAAGTGGATCATGGAAGCCTTCATTTTGTATGTGTGTGGGGGGGTTGCTTTTAATAAAGACACACCAGAATAAAACTATGGGAATATATGCACATATTCTGTTCCTAAACTTCTCTCTTTATACTTCTCCTGCCATTTTGAGACCATGAGAGGCTCCACAACTGGTCAGGCATCTCCCGCTCCAGTAGTTTTCTAGCTCAGTGATTCCCTCCCACTTGAGCTAAATAACTCTTCCCCTATACCAGAGAAGGGGGGGGGGAGATAGGTGGCCTACGCAATGTCACTGGATTACAGATCCCATTAGCCCTTGCCAGCATAGGTAAATTTAAAGGCCGACAAGAGTTTCAGTTTCACAGTATCTGGAAGGACCACATGCTCCCTCTCCTTGCCCTACAGTTCTGGCATGTCCTCAGTCGGTCTCTTTTCAGCGGTGAAAGGCAGTGGAAAATGAGTTGAGAGAATATGTCTGGCTGAGCTTGTGAAATCTAGCAAAGACCCTCCTCTGCCCAAACCAGTGCAAGCCTTCATGCAACCTGAGGCAGAAAGAGATATGTTGCCACTGGCCCCCACTCACTACAACAGTACTGCTCTCACATTGGCTGCAGAGGCAAGGAGGACGGGGATGGAGCCACTGCCTTCTTTCTCCCAGCCACCCTCCCCACATCTACTGTGTGGCCATCTCTTGGCCAACTCCATGCAAAACGCCTGGTCCCAAATGTCTTCAGGGCCAAGGCAGTGTCAGGAGGGGTGGGCCACCCTCCCCGCAAAAGCCTGCCTGTACCAGTCAGTGCCTCTGATTTCCTTCTGCTTTTTTACTGAATGAAATCAGGACTGAGAGGGCTATAGTCAGTGCTGATCTTTGAAAATGTGTGCTGCAGCATTAAACTGTTTCTTCATCATTCTACAGGACAGAGAGAAACTTCGGCGACGAAGACCTAAAAGAGGTTCAAAAGTAATCAAGGTAAATGAATCACATACATGGTTTGGGTGCCGACTTAGTAGAATTTAATGTATTTCATTTCAGGGAATAGACTTCTTCCAGATTCCTAAATCACAGCACTTTCACTAGGAAAGATATGACTTTGCAAAAAATGTGTAGTAGTGCATTTCTGCAAATGGCAGAAAATCCAGTTGTAGCCACCACTCCTAACCTCCTGATTGTGGATGATGTCCATCCCATATGTTTTCTGTTTCTGTAATCTTAATCTTTTCCATGGGAATAAAATCATAGTAATACAAGTGAGTGTAACATCTCTCATTGATTAGTCTGTCTCCATGACTCACATTGTTTGGCAAGTTTTAAGTCCTGAAATCACTGCTTTGCAATCCAGACCTGCTGATTAAGCAGCTCTTATCGTCTAAGGGTATGACTCATATTTTTTCTTTCTTTCATGTTTTCAATTAAATTAGAAGGTTTCCTGAAACACAGCTATTAAGAAAAATCTCAGTGTAAATGGTGGAGTCCATAAGGTACCAGAACTGAGAGCCTCGTGGCGCAGTGGTTAAACCGCTGTACTGCAGCCAAAACTGTGCTCACGACCTGGGGTTCAAATCCCAGGTAGCCGGCTCAAGGTTGACTCAGCCTTCTATCCTTCCGAGGTCGGTAAAATGAGTACCCAGCTCGCTGGGGGGGGGGGCAATGTGTAGCCTGCATAATTAACTTGTAAACCGCCCAGAGAGTGCTTGAAGCACTATGGGGCGGTATATAAGCAGCACACTTTGCTTTTTTGCTTTTATCACACTGTTTTGTGTTAAGCCTGTAACTCAGCCTTAACTGAGACCTCAACTCTGACTGAGACTAAACCTGAAACTAAGCCTTCTCTACAACTGAAGCAATCATATGCTGCCTTCTTGTTTACTGCACCTTCCCTAACCCCCAGCCTCTTTCTTCATTGGTTTCTCTGTGCAAGAATTATAGATTAGAAACATCTCAGAGCAAGATCCTGCATTCTTGCAGTCCATAAAATACTCTGTGCACAGATGGCACTATGTAAATGAAAATGAAAATAAACTTTACCAGCAGCTTGAAACCTTGCACGGACATTAGAGAGATTTGCCCCCATAGCTGATTATGACTTTGGACCTACATCCATTTGGTCTGAGACAGAGAGGGGTGGAAGGAATTGCTGTGTACATTGTACTTTGAAAACCAATGAGGACCACTTAAACTTTGCACTGTTTGTACCTCAGCACAGCACTGTTTGTATCTCAGCACAGCTTGAGGTACAAACAGTATCTTGATACTGTGGCTCACCTGCCTATCAGCATAGAGTCAAGGGCCAGGCAACGATCCTAATTGTGCCCATGTGCCTTGAAGCACATTGTAATGGCGGGGCTTGTATGCACAGATGAATATTGCTTACATTGAGGGAACATTGCTGGTACTGATTTTTTTTTTTAATGTGGGTTTTTCCATCTCTTCAGAGGCATATATTGGACACAGTCTGTGGAGTTGATGATGACTCCATGGACTCTGAAACCTCATCCATGGCTTCATTCAGGACAGACAGAACACCAGCAACACCAGATGAAGAACTGGATGAAGTAAGAGCTTTGCTTTGAAGTCCTCTCATTGGGCATCAGAATGTTTTGAGAATCTTCTTCATTCACTGATCAGAATTTTTAAAAGAGATGCTAGAATAAGTAGGCTTGAAACATGGCAGCACTCTTCCTCCTGGGAGTCCGCTTGAGCCTTAAGAAAACACCAGTCTACATTTTAAATAAAAAGGAAGTTTTTACCACTTCTGTCAAGGGAGTGGAGTGGTTACACAAACAGCCGCACTGCGGAGGTGGGTAGGCAACTAAGAGGAAGAAAACCTTCCATTGCCTCTCCCTCTTGTCATCCTTTATCATCAAGACTGAGGATGGCATCACCGTGGGGGTGGGATGGGGGCAGCAGCATTGCTTGTTTTCCTTCTTCAGGCAATACAAAGGCTCACAGATACCTCTTCTTTCAGCCTCTCCTCCGCTACAATTCTCCACTGCTGATAGGATGTCTGAGAACAAACAGGGATTTAGGGCAAGGATAGGATAGTGACCATGGGGCCCTACATATTCTTGCAAAACTTAGTGCATTTCTCACCTATTGGCCATCTATTTATCAACTTGTTCTCCACCACTTGGCCACCTATTGCTAATTCTTTATCTAGGCACCATTTTGTATGAAGGAAAGAAATCCATGGATATAGGTGACCCTTATCTGCTCTATAGAAGAAGTCAGCTTCACTCCTCCCACAATTCTCTTTTCCCACAAAATTCATCCCCTACAGCTGCTATTTGCTTCCAAAATGGCAAATAACAAGTAGCAGGCTGGTGTGGCTATTTTCATTTGGGAAAATGGTGCTAGGAAAATATTGGATCCCTTCTCCCCAATATTGCAGTTTCAGTAGAAATTGCTCCCTGCCCTGATGCCACTATTAGGTAGATATATTAATATTCCAGGTCAAAGAATTCAGAAACACATTTAATATCATATGTAGTTTGGCAAAAAGTTCTACTAAATAAATTGATATATACCATAATCTGTGGAGAAAAAAATACTTGGATTTCTTTTTATCTGATGTGTAATATCTAAGTCTTACATAAGTTGACATGTATATGTTGACATATTTTAAAACAGGTCTGGAGAACTGTGACCATCCAAATTAGTGGAGTCGATCCCCAGCAGTTTCCTGGATCTAAGTACACCTATGACTTTGGAAGGCCACACCAGATCCAGTGACCTCCATCCTCCTCTATTTTTTTCTCATGAAAATTATTTTTTAAAAATAGGGGAAACTCTTCTGTGCCATCTAGTGGCAAAAAATCATTTTTCTAAAATGGGGGCATAGGGAGCCAGTGGTGGGGTCAGATTGAAAACATGGCTAAAATAACTCCTATTTATTTAGGCCACAAGAGGATTTTCCAAACTCTCCACACACACCTTTTACATTTTGGGGTGAATATGGGTCTACTGTGGAGGTGTGTATTGCCCATCTGTGCTCCAGATGTTATTAAACTCCATTTCTCATCAGAATGATGGAAGTAATAGTTCGCCAATATCTTTAGGGCAGATGGTTTCCCAGATGTGTTTCTGAATATTGAAAACTATAGGGCTTGGTTAGATGGCCAAAATGGAGTGGTCTGGACTAAAAGGGATCACAATCAGTTAAGGTTGCATAGAGGTGCATGGCGTGCTCCTTTTACTCACATGCAAGGATCTGTTGGTGTCAAATCAAGAAACCTCATTGTACCACAAGTGACCCTGTTTAGTACAATCAAGATCTTTTGTTTTAAAAGGAAATATTGTTTACCCTTAAAGGGAAAGATTTCTCCAGATTGTTAAGTGACTGGCTGGCTGTCCTTTTGGAGAAGCCAGTCAATGATTCTATAAAGGGAAAGATTTCTCAAGATTGTTAAGTGACCTTTTGGAGAAACCAGTCAATGATTCTGAGAAATGGAAATCTTCCAGCCAAGCAGAGGAGACAACATGTTTCACATTTCTTTTTAAGTGAATTAAATGTATTAATAATGGATTGCAATGATGCGGTGTATAAGCATTGCTGACGTGTGATGTTTGCAACCATTGGGGGGGAAATGCAAAACTTCTTCTCCTTTCCTGCCCAATGGTGAGCTAAAAGGAAAATTTAAAGGGAAAGCTTCCAATTTCTCAAGATCTTTTAACGGAGTCTCCAAAGGGGCAGCCAGCTATCTGCTTAACAATCTGGAGAAATAGTTCCCTTTAAAGGGAAACATATATATTTTCTTTTAAAGGGAAAGAGGGGAAAGCCAGCCAGCTGCTTTAGTTCAATCCCAAAGATCAACATGCTTGAATCAACCCAAAATGAAGCAATCCTACCTGCACCTGAAAAAAAAGTAACCCGACAGGGACTTAAAAACGTGCAGGTAGGAATACTCTGGGGATAAGCTGGCTCATGCTGGCAATTACATCATGTGGTTACCGCCAAAAAGGAGCCCATCTCCAGAGTAGATCAAACAATGGACCAAATACCCATGTAATCACCCACTAAATGATGTATAACATGCGGTAATGCTTTTTGTTGTTTACATGTGTTTTGCCTAATGTAAGTGGCCTTATTTTAATTTGAAAAAATATCTAAGAAGTTAAGGATAACTTTCTTGGAAGACACATTTTTCATGGCTGTCTATAGATGCAGTGACTTTTTTCAGTTAAAGTTCTGCAAATAGTTTCTGTATTTCACATACCTGACACTTGGTGACTTCCCAAATAATAAGTACAGGAAGGCATTTTTACACATTTCACACATTTATGACACTCCCACAGCTGATGTGCACCTGAGATATTCCTTCTTTTTCCTACAGAGCTTAGCAGCTGAAGAATCAGAGTTGCGATTTCGTCAACTAACAAAGGAGTATCAGGCCTTACAGAGAGCCTATGCATTACTGCAAGAACAAGCAGGAGGCATTATAGATGCGGAACGAGAAGCCAAGGTTGGTATTTGCCAAAGCCAACTCAACCCAACCCAACCATATTTCTCAAAGTAAAAAGGAGAGGGGGAAAGAGAGAGATGGAGTGGCGGCGGGGAAGGAACTCAACACTCAAATGTTACAGTTCTGGGAAATCCAACTGTTCAGGCCCTGAATCCTATTTTTAGTCCTAACTAAAAAGATCCAAGTTCCCACTGTTTCAGTAGTTTTTCACTAGTTGGGGTTAAAAAGGGTTTTAGATCCAACTTTTGGCAAAGCAAAGCAAGGTTAGGCAAAGGTTCTGCTAAAGCACACAAAAAAAAGGGAAAGAGTTAAGGATTCAGATAGCACCCTGGACAGCTCCATGGGGATATGTAAGGCCAGCTGAAATGTTTCAGCTCCAGGCACCTCCAGACCTTGCTGGCTCTGCCTTCAGTCAGCAGGCATTGATTTCAGCAATGCAGCGTGACTTTGGTTCTGTTGGGGGTTTCTGGGCTGAGATCTTCAAAGTAGGTCAACACCACTCCTTTGGGTTGGAAAGGAGGTGGTAAAATTAGTTCATCTCCTGGTAGGACTTTCAGGGTAGTAGGAGCATCCAGAGCTGGCACCGGGAGCAAATTTTCCTCCCACTCTGATGCCTCTTATTCTCCAGATCTTATTTTATTCTCTAGATCAGGCCCCAGAGTCATACCACGTACTGTTAATTAGAGGCATGCCTTTTGTTTTGTTTTGGCCTCCAAATCTCAGAATTCTCCAAGAATTCCCCAGGCAGAATTTTGGGACCTCCAGCCCACAAAGATATACCTACAGATACCTACATTTCAGTTATTGAAACAAGGCTGAGGCTTCTTTCAGGGCCTTTTTCTAAGTCTTCATTTTCTGCTATAATGTTTTTTTGGGAGGAAGCTGCTCTAGTGCTTCCTGGGAGCTGGTAATTAGGTGGATTATACCTGAGTACTCAGAAATGATTTGCTATTCCCTTCTTCTGGGGACAATCTGGTACTGTGCGGGTTGATAAAGGCCAGACATGGTAGTTTCTCTGCTACAAGGCACTGTAGGAATCAAACTCCCAACCCTCTGGCTCCACAGCAAGAGGCTCCAGCACACTGAGCTATCCAGCCAGTTTTCCCCCCAAAAGTACAGAAGACAGATCACTTTAAAAAAACCCCAACTCAAACATGTTTATATACAGCATAAATCTACAACTTAAGAAGAAAAGAAAATGATTGATTTGATTCTGGGCAACAGAATCAAACAACAGTGTAAAACAGCAACAAATAAAGCATAGTTTGTGAATTTGTTATGGGATGTGGCAGCGCTGCGGGTTAAACCGCAGAAGCCTCTGTGCTGCAGGGTCAGAAGACCAGCAGTCGTAAGATCGAATCTACACAGTAGAGTGAGCGCCTGTCACTTGTCCCAGCTCTTGCCAACCTAGCAGTTTGAAAACATGTAAATGCATGTAGATGAATAGGTACCACCTTGGTGGGAAGGTAACGGCGTTCTGTGTCGTGTCGCACTGGCCACGTGACAACAGAAAACTGTCTACGGACAAACGCTGGCTCTACGGCTTGGAGAAGGGGATGAGCACTGCCCCCTAGAGTTGGGCAAGACTGGACTAAATGTCAAGGGCTACCTTTACCTTACCTTGTGAATAGGCGCTCATCTTCACCGGGGCCAAAAGAAGGGCACAAAATTAAAACAAGAATATATGGTAAAGTCACCATGCATCCATTCCATAGGGTTCCTTCCAGCTGTGCAGTTCTAAGATGATGATGATATGAAGAACTCTGAATGTTCAGAAGCATGACCAAATGCTACATCTTATTGACAGAAATGTAAACGAGTCAATGAACGGTGCCAAGATTATGCTTCTTTGGGAGAAAATCATTTTAAAAGTATTGAATGATACCAGCGAATTGGTGATGGCAGCGTTTGCATTTTCTCATTTTCCTGCCAGCTCTGTTACCAAAAGAGTATCCTGGGCTGAACTGGAAGCTTTCTGTTGAGTCACAAATGAAGGGAGAGGATGGAGGTGTCCCTGAAGGTCCAGGTTCTGAAAGGCAGGAAGGAGAAGAGAGCTGAGTTCCAGGATGCCCACCTTCGAGAGAAGGCTTGTATACGTGACCATAAGAACTCAGTCTCTGTAGCACATCTCTCCCAGTCTGTTCCCTCACTTGCCTCTCCAGAGCTGTGGCAGCATCTAGGAGCCTTGTCCAAGCCCATGACTGGAGTCACCAGTGCCTTGCTCCTGTCGCAAGTCAATAAACCTGGTGGTGATAGCCAACATCCTCCCACTATCACCTTCTTCCAAGATAGGTGGTGACCCCTTGCCTTCCCAGTTCTGCTATTTTATTTCCCTTGATCCTGCCTCCTCCAGCTTACACTGTCTCTCCTGCACCTGCTGGCCTGATCCTGAGGCAACTCACGCTCTTCCCAACTGCTTGCTGTGGGCTGGGGACAGTGCTCCTGCACCCCCTCACAAGAATTTTAACACACATATACTATATCTCAGTGGAATGTAGCACAAAACTATTTCAATGAAATCAACACAGTTAAAGCAAACGACTGACTCAACTTTCTCAGTCTTATTGTCATCATAATCTTAGAACTGCATAGCTGGAAGGGACCCTATGGATCATTGAGTCTAGCTCCTGTCAAAGAGGCACAGTGGGGAATCAAACTTCCGACCTCTGGCTCCAAAGCCAGATGCCTAAACCACTGAGCTATCCAGCAGTTCTATATACCCATTGCCTTAACTTGAAATTGAGACAGTCTGAAAAATTGTTTTAATCATAATGTGTTTCTTATTTTTAACAGGCACAGGAGCAGCTCCAAGCTGAAGTTCAGAGGTACAAAGCTAAAATAGAAGACCTGGAAAAAACACTGGCCCAGAAAGGACAGGTACATATTTATACAGGATGTTTTCTGTATAAACTGTTTACTTACATAAGAAAGCTTTTAGAAATGTGATTGGTTTTATAGGACACATATACTTCGCACTGATGAATCAAACCTTTGAAAGGTAAGATATGAAAAATGTACGAGATACATCAAACTGGGTAATAGAGCTCGTAACCATGATTGTCATGGTTGTCCTATGCAGGAAATTCAGCCATTTTGGATGTCCTGTTTTTCATGACACAGCACAACTGTGAAATGATCTGGTAGTAAATGTATAAAGTTGAACAAAAGTTGAGTCAGCACAATGAAAACAGCACTGTTTTTTTTCCTTCATCACTGGAGCTTAGTCACTGGCATGACTACAGTTTTATGTTGCTATAAACTGCAGCCACATCAAGACCAAATCCAAAAAGATTATTTTAAGAAAATGATGTGTATATTTTAATATGTGATGAACAGATGTGTGTGGAGTTTGTTCCATATCAGCACTTTTAAATATATTTACATTTTAAAATCAAACAGGACTCCCACTGGGTAGAAGATAAGCAGCTCTTTATTAAGAGAAATCAAGAGCTTTTGGATAAGGTACGTACTAAATGTGAATATCCAAATTGTTCATCAGCATTTAAAATTTTAGTCTCAAACCTGGAAATACATTGGTCTATTCCACACTCTAATTATATGAATAGAAGTAACTTCTTCTAATCTTAAATTCAGGAAATGGTTGAAACAATAGGTACAAAACAAGCAAGCAAACAACTTTTTCCACACTTACTGATATTTAGAGAAGGACACTGAAATCAGGAGAACAATCAATTCTTTAAAAAAAAACTTCTGGTTTATAAATGTACAATATTCAATATTGTGCCTCTGTACTCATGATTCAAAATGCCGAGAAATGGCTCAGTGTTGTTGCACATACCCACCTTGCCAGCAGGAAAAGGATTCCAAGCTTTACATAGCAAAGGGCAGCTTGAATGTTGACAACACCAACGGCAGCAGTCAAGATAGTCTAAAGCACTGGTTCTTAACCTTGGGTTACTCAGGAGTTTTGGACTGCAACTCCCAGAAGCCTTCACCACCAACTGTGCTGGCTGGGGTTTCTGGGAGTTGCAGTTCAAAAACACCTGAGTAACCCAAGGTTAAGAACCACTGGTCTAAAGCCTACCTACTTCTGCTCACGACCATTCACAAAATGACACACCCAAGGTTAAGAACCACTGGTCTAAAGGCTACCTACTTCTGCTAACGACCATTCACATGCAAGCGAAAATCGCAAAAGCTTTCTTTTTTTTATCAGTTAACCATTTCTCACCCAAACACAAATCAATTATCAGAACTATTTTTCAACCAGTGTGAATAGTAGTGAGCAGAAGAGGGTATCCTGTAGTACATTTTGACTTAATTTGATCCTGAGTGGCAGGGTCAAAGGTTCTGTTTTCCTCCCCCCCCCAACTGGACTATTTATCTTTAGAATGTTGGTGCTGATAAGAAAGGTAGAAACTCAGACTTTTTTTTGCCTCTCAAATGGCTATTTTCAAAGTCAGTATAAGAGCCCCAGAAGCCTGGATTCCTTTCAAATAAAAAAAGAATCTGGGACTAACCATTCTCTTTCAAAGTAAGCATGTTTGGTCTTTTCAGTATATCTAATCTGTTTTGAATCTGTAGACAGAAATGGTCAATAGTGTCTGCATGGTGGTAGGTGGGGATAAAACAGATTTACTCCTTTTAAAAGCATAACTTGAAAACTAATTGTCAAAATGTCCCCAACTTCATCAAAGAGCAAGAAAAGACTCTCTGCTACACCTGTGCTAAATTTGGTGCTGATCCGACATCCAGTTTCTAAGTTACTTTTTTTTGTTTGGGGCACCCTGTTTTTTGAGTTGGCTTATGGAATACTGAAATTGGGCTGTCACACAATATCTTGTGCTGCACTCCTGTGCAGCAATAATAAATGAATTCTGATTAACTTATCCCATTTATTTCCATGTATCCATTCTAAGTATAACTAAGAATTTAGCCTATTAACTCTTTATCCAACTCCTTATTTCCAAAATTTAAGGAATAACAAACAACTATAATATCATAAGATCGGCACTGAGAATTTTTTTAAAAAGATGTTATAATTCAAAATAATGAGACAAAAGATTCACTTTGCATCATCAGAATATCAGGGTAAAACATCTTATCTATCTGTCTATCTTATTTACAGACTGCCTTTCTCACAATAAATGGAACTCAAGGTGGCTCACAGTATTAAAAAGAAGAGAATTAAAAACACAGTAATTTATACATTAAAAACCAATTAAACTTTAAAACTGATTAAAATACAGTGAATGATTAAGAACATAGGTAAATGTTAAAAACTATTGCAATTTTAAAAAGGGCATTCAGGGACTCAGTCATGATTGTTATAAGCCTTTCTGAAGAGATGGGTGGAAAGATAGACTGGAGCGAGCCAGTCTGATCTCAGGAGGGAGAGAATCCCAGGTCACCGGAGAGGGCTTTGTCCACAGAGAAAGACCTCTCCCTTGTCCCCATCAACTGTGCCTGCACTGGCAACGGGATCCAGAGGAGGGCCTCCTCTGACAATCTTAAGTGCCAAGAACGTTCATCTTCTGTTAACAGTTTCTTACATTTTGAGGAAGAGTGCTTTCAAAGCAGCCAAAGACTTGTAACTTTGCTAAAAATTGGGTCCTTGTCCATTGACTTCATAATACAAAAGATCAAAACCTACAAAGTCAATAAAAAGTCTTTTAGGGATCTTCAAAAATAGTCTTCAAAGCGTCAGTGAATAGTTTCTCTTAATTAAAATAATTAATTTTGGGAGGAATAATTAATTCCTCCAAAAGTGTCAAATCAGCATATAATTTTTTTTGTTTCATCTAGCAAGTTGCTTTTGATACCTTGAATTAACTTCTTAAAGACCAGTTATGTCTATAAGCAAATGACATGCAAACCTCAAAGGTTTTGTTATTTTGTCTTTTTATCAAATTGACTACAAAGTCAAAAATAATTCAGTATCTTTTCCTCTTGGGAGAAGGTATGCTTGGAGAAGAGAGAGAAGATGGTGGTAATAAACTTTTAAAAGGGCACATTTTGGAATCACTTCCTAAAAACGTATCTTTTCCTTTCAGATAGAAAAACTGGAATCGGAGAACCATCGATTGCAACAGGAACTGCAAGATGCAAGGGATCAGAATGAGCTGCTGGAGTTCCGAAATCTAGAGCTTGAAGTGGGAACCTTTCTTGTGAAACGAGGAATGATGGGGGGAGGGGGAAAGTGTGTGACCGATTGCAGATTAGAGCTCCAATTTAACAGCACTTTCTATGGGTTGTGTTTTTATTTTTGCTATGTATGAGCTATTATGTTTTACTAATTGTTTTAATTGATATGAACCAAAGTCAACTGTATCAGATCGCCTCATCCTCACAGGGTTTTCAAGATATAAAATATTCAGGAGTTGTTTACCATTGCATTCTTCTTCTGCTCAGCGCTAGTCAGAGTTAGTTTGAGTGTCTTTGTTGTTGTCTGTGAAAGATCCTCCATCAGGGCCGTCTTCCGTTGCTGCTGCTTCTAGAACTTCTCTACCCATAGCCATTGTGTCTATTAATTTTCTTCTGTTGATGTGATTGTTAATTCCTGAAGAGGGATAGATACATCTTAGCCTGGGTGGCTCCAGCTTAGCTTTGACCATTCTAACTCAGTGTGGTCAGACAAGAGGGAAACAGGAAGAAAGGCAGCCGGAAAAGAGGAAGACCAAATGCGAGGTGGATCGATTCAGTAAAGGAGACCACAGCCTTAAGTTTACAAGATCCCAGAACTGTTAATGATAGGACCTTTTGGAGGTCACTAATTCATAGGGTAATGTCAGAAGCAATTTAACAGCACATAAAATCAAAATTGCGCTAGCTAGCATTTTATGCATAAAAGCAGATCTATTGATGGTGGTGATGGTGATGGTATGTAGACATAAAAGAGAGGTTGTGTAGTAAAATTAGCACTCTTTCTCGAAGAAGTAAATTCACTATCTGTGTCTGCTTACCATCTCCAGCTATTACATTGCATGCAAGCTTGGTTTTGCTGTATGAGGTGTCTCCTAGTACATTGTCCTACTAGGTATTAATCAGAACATATATTTTTAAGCAAAACCAATTGCAGCATGAAGTCAAATAAATAAATAAATACTAATCCATCAGCCCATGATAAATGGAGACATACTATGCTGCAGATCTGCTGCAATAACTAATAGCCATTTTCTTTTCACATGGACTCACGAAACTAACAGTAGCAGACTATCCACTAAATCCTCTACTTGTCTGAAACAGGTGCATCCCACTCACCCCCTTTCCTTCTCAGATGTCCCCCTTTTCACCCACTCAGCAGCACCCTATGCAACAGCAGGCACACAGCCCTGCTCCGTCTCATTATCCCAGGAAAAACAGGCTTCTGCTTCGCTTTTGCTGCCACTCATCCAAGTCACAATGGTACCCTCATCAAATCTTTCCAATCCACAATCTATCCCTCATTTGCCTTCTCATCAGCTTCCTGATCACCCTTCCCAGCTCTCCTTATCGCTCCTTACATCTCTCCCCAAATTAAGTCTTCTCCAACCCTCCTTCATTCAGCCCAAATCAGTCCACAACTGTCCTCAAAGATTACCAAGCAGGAGAAAGCAGGAGTTCCTGGGGAAATACAGTGGCTTTGGCAGGCAGGTGAAGCTCAAGCCATTTGGTTTGCTGCACACCCAGCAACCATTTGTTTCTTTTTAAAAAAATAATCAATGTGCATATTTGAGGGTCCAAAGATCATGGCAAGTGGCAGCCTCCAGCTGTTGTAGCCTCTCAAAAACATATGGCTTGAACAGGGTATTGAAAGCAGCATTAGGGTATTATACTCTATTCAGTAAATAATGTATACTGGGTTTTTTTAATTCTGAAATATTTTTATGCTTTATTTCAAGGAAAGAGAAAGAAGGTCGCCACCATTCAATCTGCAAATCCACCCATTCTCTGACGGTGTCAGCGCTCTGCAGATTTATTGCATGAAAGAAGGTGTCAAGGTTTGTTGACTTGGATTCACCTCAAAAAGCAGAAATCATGCTTTCATTCTTTTTAGATTTTGTCTGTGAAAAGTTGTTTGCCTTTGTATATCTCTGTGCAGATGGATGCAGGAAGGGTGTGAAGGAGCTGGAATCGTACCCCATGCCCTTCAACTTGCACATATTTAGTGGTTCTCTGAGTACAGAGCTTCTACATGCAATATATGATTTTCCATATCTTAAGATGCTTGATCATGCCTACAGGATACTAAACATGTTCAGATGTACACATATGACATGTTCAGATGTACACATATGATCTCTTCAGAAGCATGCAGATTAGAAATGGCATGATTGAATCACTCAATTTCCACAGTTTACTGAACACTTGAGTAAGGGTAGGCAGTTTGACCACAGAAACTGTGGGTGTTCTAGTTCTGATGGTATGGATGGTGTCAAACTGATCTAATCCACTGGTGAAATTGTATGTACATTAGTCACTAGACACTTATCCATAGTTTTGGAAGAGGTAACAGTGTTAGTCTGTGCAAGCATCGTATGCTTATCCATAGTTAATATCTCCTGTGGGGAACAGAAGATATATAGACCTTCCTGAGGGAATAGTGTCAGGGGAGTATGTTTAAACATGTCGGAAAACTGAGTCAATCAATTGCATGATCTGGGATATCACTTTCTGTTTGGATTTCAGCAAATCATTTAGTATAATACCATACTGGACATTTTTCATGCTGGACATTGCTAATGAAACTAAAAAAAGATGAATGTCAAGAAATATATGACATATATCATAGAACAAAGGGAAGAATAATGAGGGTATTCCCTACCTGTCCAGGTTTCCTCGGATTGGAGAGAAATAATCCATGAAGTATTCAGGGATGAGACTTGGACCCTACCTGGTCCTTCCCTCTGACACCCACCAAGTGTTCCAAAGTTTCTATAGCTATAACCTAATCCTACTGTACACAGTTGATGGCCAACTCCTAGTATTCATCTTTCCACCTTATTCATAGGTCAGGGTCTCAGTTATTACAGGTTTTCTCTCCGAGTTCAGCAATACTGTACTGAGTAAACTATATGGATCCCTTTATTGTGAGATTCACATGATTAGCTACAGAATGACTTAATTGTCCCAATCTTATTTGTCGCCATATTTTTTAACAGGATGTAAGCATTCCAGATCTCATAAAGCAGCTAGACATCTTGGGTGACAATGGGGTAAGTAATACATACATTTGACAAGTTCACCTTATATACAGTTAAGCATCAGAAGGAAAACATGCATACATACACACAATGTGTAACTCTTTTTAAATAAAGCATGGTTTATCTGAGATATTTAATTCTAAAAAAATTGCTCTTGGTTCATACTTGTATTTATATAACGTATGTCGAATCTGTAAATTAAAACTAAGAGACATTTAATCTATAAATAATGGAATAGATTCTCTGGCCTAGGCTAAATCAAATGTTATTTACGAAAAAATTTTATGTTTCCTTATTTACCTGTACCCTGCATTTCCTATATACAAATATCTGCTACTTTATGAAGCTTAACTTTTTCATAATAAGGAAGTCTTGTCACTGATACAGAGTTCTTTGTCCACTGCACCTGTAAATTCTCTGCCTGCAGGTTTCCCATACATTAAGGGAGAAAGCAGCTTTGGGCAATGATCCATTTTCATACACAAGCTTCTATGTAATGAGTGAAGAAACCCTGGTGTAGCTGGTAACTTTGAAAACATGGCAGGATCTCTGCACATGTAATCGATAACTGAAACTGAGAAATGGACTTCAGATATTCTCCAGTAATAATGAGTGTCGGTTTGGAAAGCTAATGGTGCTTTCTTGATTTAATTTTCTGCCTCTTCAACTTACAGAATTTAAGAAACGAAGAGCAAGTGGCTATAATTCAAGCTAGTACCGTATTATCCTTGGCAGAAAAGGTATCTTTTTTGTGTGCATGTTGTTGTCTCAAGTGTATTGCTTATTTTGAATTACACATAATGGGGAGGGAGCAGGCTGTAAAATAACAGATTTTGCAGAAGTAAATAGACACAGTATAAAAAATAGCTATGGGAAATAAAATGCCTTTATAATTGTCAATAAGCAACAGAAAAATGTAACTCAGAACCCATGTTTAGATCTAGCACTAAGACAGGACATTCTACTGAATATGAGCAGCATGATGATCTGTGATATCTGACTGACCTTGCTTACAGTGAGGGTAGCTGAAACAAACCACAGAGCTTCAGGCCATGGCTAGCTTATTGTTTTGTCTAAATGAAGCAGTAGCTGGCACTCTGGTGTGGTCTGAGGGACTGAGAACGCTCTAAAACATCTGGAGGCCAGAAGTTTCCTGATGGAAAATGTTTGGATTTTTGACCTGCAGGTCCCAGAATCGCACATCCAGATGTTGTACCAGCTGCAAACCTCTGAACATTATAGTCCAAAACATATCTGGTGAAAGATAGGCTTTGGCTGGACTTAGTAGTGGAACATGTTTGGAGTGCTTGGGATGTAAACTGTACTAATATCAAAGCACTTCTGGGCATGCTTAGGTTTCCTTTCTTTTAGCACTGAGCCACCACATCCTGCACACCTTTCATATGAGATTAAAGAGTAGGCATTTCAGATCAGAAGGTGTGGCATTCACCAACGTTTGAACCTTGAACCTCTGTTCTCACCAACAAAGAGCAACGGCAATCACCTACAGACAAACTTTCCTCGTCTGACCTTACTATTGGTGAAATACAAAGAAAACATGTTGGAAGCCTTCGTGTCTGTTTCTCATTTTGACAGTAACAATGAAAGGTGATGTAAATAACATATTGCCATTGTTGTTCTTGTAGTGGATACAGCAGATTGAAGGGGCTGAAGCAGCTCTACACCAGAAGATGATGGAACTGGAGAGTGATATGGTAGGACAAAACACGCCCTGGTCTTCTTTTTTTGTCATCCTGCCCTATCTCCTACACAACATACGAAATGTGTCACATTTTTCTTGCATTGTATGTGTGTTCTTCATTATTTATTACAGGAGCAGTTCTGTAAAATAAAAGGCTATCTAGAGGAAGAACTAGACTATAGGAAACAAGCTCTTGACCAAGCCTATATGGTAAGTTGAAGGCAAGTTCTGGAACAATCACACACATTCCAGAACACAACTTCTTTTGGGTACCTCAATACTAAATGCATATACTTGGTAGTATTTGTTATGATCTCAGTCGCAGTGACTTCCAAGACTTGGAAAAGATTTTTTTTTCAGACTGGAACTCCCAGGATGCCATAACCAGTATCTCCAGTCTTTGCTATTTTTTCCAAGCTCTGGTGACCTCTGGCTGGTTGATTGAGATAGAATTTATTTA